GGTTTGTTTCGCTCAGGACCTCTGTCGCTTGCTTGGCTGCTTCTTCAACGCCTCCTCTTGCACCGAAGAACTCGTTCGCGTAGGACTCTGCGCTGACGCGTGCGAGCTTTGTGCCTTCTACAAGCCCCTTGACCACGGAGAGGTCGCGCTTGTCAGTGTGTCGCCACCATGGCCCGTCGTTCCAGCCTCCGCCGCCGCCCCGGTAGCCGTCTAGCGATCCGCGCTGTGTTGACTCTGAGCCGCGTTGGATGACCATAAGGTCTCCGCCTTCGACTTGTGCCATGACTCCGGCGAAGGTCTGGTAGATGAGGGGGTCGAGCGAGGGGTACCCGATGAGGTCGTGTGTGATGTGGATCTGGAGGCGTTCATGCTGCGAGATGGGCGGTGCGAGGGTGTTTAGAATGTTGGTAAAGGTAGGCACGGCACGCTTGCCGAGTTCACCTCCTGTAGCATGTTAGAATGAGATGACATGGTGGGAAATGGAATTGTACCAATGCCGCGAAGAGCACCAACGTTCCCCCGCACTTGCTCCGCCCATCGTTGGGCTTCCTGGTTCTTTTGGATCTCTTGGTAGGCGGCTTCGGCTTGCTTCCTCGCCGTCTCTGCTGCCGCAGTGGCTGTTGACACAAGTCCTCCCCATCCACCTCCCCACCAAGATCCACCTGACTGCTTCTCCTCCAGGGGCTCTGGTGCTTGTTGTTTGGCGGGCTCCTCCTGGGTTGGCGCGAAGCTCTGGTGGTACGAACGGGTACTCTCCCCTGATTTCCTCGGCACTGAAGGTCGGTTGTCTTCGCTTGTACGTGCTGATCCAGTGGAAGAGGGAGTCGCTACGCCTGGTGCGCGGCGGCTGCTCGATGTAGTCGACGACGAGGCTACTTTGGGTGTATTTGGACGACTGATCTGGCGGGGAGCTGCTGGTTGAGCCTTGCCCAATTGCTCCAGCTCGTCCAGATCCTTCAGGGCATCTTCATCCTCCTTCCGCTGGACCTTCTGGCGTGGTGCGCGGGACCCTTTGGCATGCTTCGGCGGGGGCGCGGGAGTCTCACCAGCCAGAGCTTCCAGTTCCGCGAGCTCCTCGTCAGCTGTCTTGGGTGGCATGATGGATGGAAGATAAGGAGACTAGTCTAAGGTGATAGTGCCCACAGTCACGAGTCACTGAGGGAGCGGAGGCGTATATAGTCGGCGGATATCACTGCAAACATCAAGTCATGGCCATCTTGTTTGGACCATCTGACAGCTAGATGCCAGTCAGTTTAGCGTGTTGATGTCATTGGCTGCCTGCGCATGCGCCAAGCGCGATCATGGTTCGGCTCGCTTTTGCTGAAGCAGCCACGCCCCGTAACAAAGATCATCACACTCGATTCACTGACTATTCCATTTCCCATTTCCTTTTCAAGATACCCTCTATCACCTGCTAGCTTTTATTTGCGCGCGCTCTTTGCGGAAGCGCAAGGTTCTGTTCATCTTCTTCGCTCACAGCTTTTGTCACCCTGAAGGCTTGCGATTCGCGCTACGCCCCTTCGGCCCCTACATGGAGACATTGTCCCGACAGGTACACCCACATCAAACTCAACACAACATTCACTACTTGCATTGGCCCCGCGTATCTTCCTGATGCCACGTCCACGGGGTGCGGCTACGCGCGGTGCCACACGTCGCAATTCGCAGCAAGATGACACGCCTTCCCGGACCCGTGGTCAAGCAGCAAAACAAGCCCCGTCAGAACCAGATGCGCCAGACACGGTTGCACCAGCATTCAGTCCCACCAAACTGAGTCCTACCATCACTAGGAAGACAACTCGCTCAGCTTCCAACATTTCTGGTAATTCATTCGAGGCGCCGTCCGCGTCCGAAATTTACGCATCTTACGAGCACCCGTTGTTCATGGTCTTTGGCCTGTCACCCGAGTTCTTTGACGGTCTGAAGAAGCACCATGGAAAACTTCCAAAAGAGCGCAAATCGATAGTTGGCGCACTCCCAGAACGCTCACCTACCCCAGAGGAAGCCTCTGACTCTGCAGATGAGAGTGCCGAGGAGAGTGAGGTTGAAGTGCCTGTTGCGCCTCCGCCAGCGCCAAGAGGTCGTGGACGTGGTGGTCGAGGCTCACGTGGCGGACGCGGTCGAGGCGGTCGCGGCAGAGGCAGTCGAGGAGGACGCGGTCGCGGCGGTACCTCAAGAGGGACTTCATCTGCGCCATCGAAAGCTTCTCGCAATGCTGCCGCCATGTTTCCACTTACAGAAGATGATGATGATCAGCCATCCAATCAGAGCACACCCAACGGCACCGCCAAGCCATCTATGCGACTACTCAACAACAACCGTCTGCATAGCTCTGATGATGAGAACGAAGAGGCGATCGAGGATGACGAGAGCGAGGCCGAGTATGATCGCATAGATGTTGTACAGAAACCATCCAGAACACCCCAAGGTTCTGCGCCACCCGGTCAAGACTCACTCGAAGGCGGTTCACATACATCAGCACCGACACGCGAGTCAAGGCCAGAGCCCACGTCTAGGAGATCCACCAAGCTTGCGGTACCCAAGATCGCGCTGCCAGAGTCAGCCTCACAGACACCGCGAGATTCTGCATCGACGCCCGCTGAGTCTGCAGTCCCAAGACTGCTAGAGCCTGAGGAGGACATGCTCTCCGAGTCAGATCTTCCCGACCCCTTCATCGAAGACGCGCCTTCTCCGATCGAAGCCGAGTGCGAAGATAGAGCAGACTACCTCCTGCAGAAGCGCTTCAAGCCGATGACTGACGTACAAGCTGCTATTGCCGCCTTGACGAAGTTTCCAGCAGCGCAACGGAGTACTGAGAATCTCTACGCTCTGACGCAGAACACGCAACAGATCCTCAAAGCTTGGCAGGACGAGTATCTCGTGTTGGACGCAAGGGTATGTTACTGTCATCCTTTCATATGTATCCACTAACACTTATAGACTGCACCTCACATGCATCCAGCAAAGAAGGCTTGCAACGGTGGACGTATCCCGCTGGCTCCAGAGGTCTTCGAGGACATGAAAGAGGCCGACCTCTATGGCTACATCTACGACCCAAAGAAGCCACCCGGTTGTCAGGATCCTTTCCTACAGCGACCAGGCGCGGACAAGGGTGGCAAGAGAGAACTACGCACGCGTCGCACACGGGACCAGCTTGAGTCAGCAGCTCCTAGTGAAGAGGAAGACGAAGAAGACGGTGAAGGTCGACCCTCCAAGCGGCAACGAAGAGCCACCCGCAAGTTTGACGGTACTGACACAGGAACTGGTGCCAACACCCCCAAGAAGCACAACGGTTGGGGCGGCGCGCGCAAGAAAGGTGTTAGTCGATTCACGAAGCCAACCTCGGAGACGCCAGAACCCGAAGGACGAGGCGTAAAGCGAGCCCGGACAACGGCTAGTAACTTGCTCCATCAACGCATCCAAGAAATGAGAGAGGAATCAGTTGTCGGTAGTTCCGGGGACGAGGACTCATCAACCATGGACGTAGACGAGTATTCAGATGCTAACCCTAAGCGTGGACGTCCAGCCGGTAGTAAGAACGTAGCTCGCCGTAGTGACTTTGGAGTAAAGAAAGGCCCACGAAAGAAGACCAGCGAATCAGGAACCCCAGCACCCTCGGCACATGGCCCAAACGCTCCACCACCAGCACTGAACTCAATGAGTGAAGGTCAAGGTCAGTTTACTATTGATGCCCAGCCGTTCCCGGAAGGCATACCCATAATGGCACCGAACTCTGCTGAGACGGTTTTTCAAGGCACACTACAGTATTCTGCGCCCAACACAGAGGTACCACTTGTGCATCCGAGCGAATCCAGTACTCCTGACGCGTACATGCTCACTGCCCCCCTTAGTCAGTATACAGCCAACAACAGCTACGCGGACGACTCATCCCCAGCGTCAGGCTCGCGACGGAAACCGCGCGTAAAATCAGAGAAGCGCAGTCAATCCATGACCATGTGGTGGGCCGAACGCAAGGCAAAGAAGCGGGAGGAGGAAGCGCAGGCCGGAATTACCCCAACACCCGATCCGCGCGAAAAATCCGCGACGCAAAAGGGTGCCCGGCAGTCTGAAGGCTCGGCGACTGGCGCTACACCGCAATCGCAGCCTTCGCATTCCCAGCAAGCATCTCCGATACACCATCCACAGCACGCTCCTCAACACAGTCCCCATCACCCTCCGCCAGAAGCGTACCTGCAGTATACCCAAGGCCCGCCGCAACACTACATGTACCTCAGCGGACCGCCTCCACCACAACACATGATGATGCAGTACTCGCCACTTGCGGCCCTTCCCACTGGTTCTTTCCCTAGCCCATATCCCCATCACGCGCCCCACGCCCACAGCGGAATTCCCCTTACCCAACCCTCGAGCACAGCAGGCGGACCGTTTGGAGGTCCCCGCCAACTCGCCCCAGCACCCATGAATATGCCCACATACCCCAGCCCGTATGGTCCCCAGAGCCCAGCCGGAGGCAGACCCAAGAGCAGTGGCCAGTCACTGCCTAGGAGTGCTGCTACTACCGGCCAAAACGGACAGCAGGCACTGGCACCCGCACCATCTCAGCAACAACACCAGCAGCAGCAAGGACAGCATTTCAGCCCGTACGCACCGATGAATGTCGGAGGTGCTGCGGGTCGTGAAATGCCGTTCAAAGTCATGGTTCCCGGTCCAGCCCCAGAGAGGAGAGGAAGTCGTTAGAAGCGATTGTCGCCTCGTAATGAAGATGGAGGCGAGGATAGCGATGACAGTATATACGTGCTTGATTGATTGATTGATTGTTTTTATGCGATAGAGAGCTGTGCTGGGCTGAGATGGGCGGGTTTGAGTTTTTACTGAACGATGCGAATTAGAACGGCTGTTAGTAAGCCTGTGTATCATAGTAATACTAATGAAAAATTGCATTTGCCTGGCTTTCATGCCGGGCATATTGCCATCCACTTGATGTACTATGTTCCCCCGTATGCCACTATCAAATCTATGAACTTTATGTGAACAGCTTACTAGACTTCCAAGCCAACAGCAGCGCTGTTCATCCGACTAATCGCACTCGCCCTCCATGTATCTTCTTCCAGACTGATGCCACTTTTCCTGAAGAGCATGTTTCTAGCGCTCTCTTTTGTGTACACCGGCCAGGATGTGCTAGAGTCCAGAGCATAATGCGCATTCGGCGAGAGCTCGTTAACAAAGCTCAACCACATCCTGCACATGCGCTTACTGAGTGTGACAAACTCCTCGCGTTCTTCCGTGGAGTTGGAAGCAAGAAAGTTGACTTCATGTCCAACACCGTCGACATTGCCAAACACGAACGGAATCTCTGTGTAGTGCGCGGCGCCTAGAGTCTCGGCCGAAACACCGCTCCCTACTGTGTCGAATCGGTAGCTGTAAGCAGGAACGCCATATTCAGCCCACGCCTCTGTGGCGAAGCGTCTTGCAGCAATGAAGATATGATCGCCTACGAACAAGGTAGTTATTCCGTAGAGACTGCCGTTCTCCAGGCGGGATGATGGCAACACAGTACCGAGGGAATCCTGTAGATCTGCGGGCGATATTCGCTCGAGGTATTCAGCAGCGATACTATCCACCGTCGTATTGGCTATGCCAGGGCCCAACCATCCCGCAACGACTGCCCGGAACTGGGTGGGGTCACTTATACCTTTCAAACCCTGACTTATGGTGAAAGATGTACCCTCATTCGTATTCGCACCAGCGAGTATAGGTACCCGTACAAATCTGCCCTGCTTCAGAGCCATGCGCGAGTTTCCATCGAAGAATTGGCCGTCCGGAACTGGGATCAATGATTGATTTTGGAAAGCGACTTTGAGCGCCTCGACGGGTACACTCCTCAGGCAGTCGAGCGTGTCCTCCTCGAGCATACAACCGGTCTGCCTGAGCAAGTTGTCGTAGAGGACGTCCTGCTCCTGCACCGACATTCCCCTCGCATCAACCGCCGGTCCACCACTCTGCACAATGGCGGCGCGAAAAAGACCCTCATCTTTCCCTCCATACGCAGCAAGATGATGGCCAATTGACATCGCACCCGCCGACTCTCCCTGAATCGTAACCTTTTCCGCATCTCCACCAAACGCAGCAATGTTCTCCCTCACCCACCAAAGCGCCAGTCGCTGGTCGTGCAGACCCAGATTCGCATTGCCAGACTCAAGTACCGCGCTTCCGGGCAGGAAGCCAAACCCAGATAGCCGGTAGTTAATCGTGACGCCAATGATAGGTGCGCCGACTGTGACTGATTCCTGCACGAGGAAAGACATGTTGTAGCGTTGATCTCCACCACTGCCTTCCTGGAAACCGCCGCCGTGAATGAAGAGTAGCAAAGGGAGTATAGCGCCTTTGTTGAGACCAGCGGGACGGACGACATTGAGGGTTAGGCAATCTTCGCTTTCGGGGTAGGATGGCGTGGTCTGTGAGAAGACAGGTAGGTTTATGGAAGTGGAAATGCATCCTGGTCCGTAATTGTTTGCATGGAATTGTCCTAAGGGATGGGTAAGGGGCGCAGGGCGGCGGTAGCGGAGGGGCCCGGTTGGGGGTTGGGCATAGGGGATGCCGAGGAAGAAGTCTTGGTTGTAGTCTGGGTTGTGTATCCCAGTGAGGGTGCCGTTGATTGTTTTGACTGTCGGGTAGAGGGTAGAGGCACTTGTAATGTTCGTTAGAAGATACAGAAGCAATGTTTTGACGTTGATGCTGAGCATGTCTGGGAAGTAGTAAATGGGGTATAGAACGATCTGCCTGTTGTGGAAGTACCTACCGAAAGGTTTTCTGGAACTACTTATGTACCTACCTAGCTACGCATAATGGCATTTGACATTCAAGTTGAGCCTCCAAAGACGTGTCTCGCGTACTCGTTTGATAGTACGTAGCCGGCCCGACGCGAGCTCGGAACGGATGGCCATGACTTCCGGTCGGGCAAGTCGAGCGAGAAGTGGATCAGGCTCTTGATAGTAGGCCTTGGAATCCGTGCTATACGATCTCTAAAACCTGGGCGCAGTCGACTTGTGGGCGGCCAAGGTCCAACGACCTCGGGACGTTGTTGTATAGCGGAGTCTCTTGGAACCGCACGGGGCGGTGGATATTTTGCTTACGCCATGCTCGAATCTGTTCCAATCATCTATCGTTGGGAATGAAGACAGTCGGCCGAGGCCAAGTGCAGGCGCGATAATCCTTTCTGGAGGCGGGCCGGTTACTCAGAAGGCTGCACTAGGCGTCGCGAGAGCCGAATGTACGTAATTAGGATCGCGTGTTAATATCGTGAGATTTGTTGACGGAGCCTGTAATACTGACTGTTTGTCGCGTTGGGAAAGTGAAGTATCTGAGGACACGTGATGGTGCGGCTCGAAGCATGCAGGGGTCGGCTCGCTTATCTGACATCGATCTGAACTCTCCATGTTCCAGGGACTATCTGCGTCATCGATCGGTGCTAAAGGGACGCGACAGCTGAACGCGTCGAGTTAGCACGGCAATGGCTTCATTAAATCCTGTTTCAGGAGGTTATCCTCATCTCGCCCATTCTGCGGTTCCACGAAACGCGTATGCTGCTCGCACGTCCGAGGCTCCTGCTGTCCCTCAAACCCTTTCTACGCATACACCCATCCTTCCCCACGAAGACACTAGCCACGATGCCACCGAAACGTAAAGCGAGCATACCTGCAAATGCGGCATCCGCGAAGAACTACACCGACGTGTCCGGCGACGCTCCCAACAAGCGCTCGCGCATCGCCAAACCTCTCCCAAAAGCCACCTCGAAAGACGCGCCTCCCGTTGACTCGATAGCGAAGAACACCGAGAATGGAGCGCCTGGAGAGGCCGTGAAGAAGGAGGAAGAAGGTTTCGACCATTCGAGACCAGAAGAGAGAGCCGGCATCGTCGATCGACGATACTATCCTGCTGAAATGAGCAACGAACGATGCGCATTGTACAATCAGAATGAGGTACCGCGCCCGATCGAGATTCTGAACAAGACGTTGGAGGATACGAAAGACAAAAGAAAGGCTATCAGAGAAGGGAAGAAAGGGCAACATGGCGACGCGGTAGTACACTGGTTCAAGAGGGATCTGCGGATAGGAGATAATACTGGCTTGTCTGAAGCAGCAGCATTGGCGGAGAAGAAAGTAGTAGGCCTGATAGGCGTTTGGTTCATGAGCCCGCAAGACTGGGAGGCTCACCTGGTCAGCCCGCCAAAATGTCATTTCGAACTGCGCTCTGTGGAGACACTCAAGAAGGAACTCGAAGAGCTGAACATCCCCCTCTACATCGAAACGATTCCCGAACGAAGGAACGTGACAAAGCGTTTGGTGGAGTTGGCAGAAGAATGGAATGCGAAGAACGTCTTCTGCAACTTGGAATACGAACCCGACGAGCTTCGGCGGGAGGAGCGCTTGGTACGCATGATGCTGGAGAAGGGCATCAACTTCGAGCCGCATCACGACGACTGCGTGGTACCGCCTGGTAGTCTCAAGACAGGAGGTGGAAAGCAATATGCGATGTACAGCCCTTGGTTCCGATCATGGGTTGCACATCTGCATGAGCATCCACATCTTATGAGCGAGCGCCCCATGCCCGATCGCAATCCTCCAGCCTTCCGCAAGAAATTCACTCAGCTCTTCGACACGAAAGTCCCCGATCTACCAGAGTGCAAAGCGTTGACAGCAGAAGAGAAGGAACGGTTCCAGCAACTGTGGCCCGCGGGTGAGGCCGCTGCTATGGATCGCCTGGAGCGCTTCTTGGAAGAAAAGGTGGTAAAATACAAGGACACGCGCAACTTTCCCGCGATGAACAGCACCGCACGCGTGAGCGTGCATCACGCTGCTGGCACGCTGGCGGCACGAACCAGTATACGCATGGCTCGAGACGTCAACAGCGCGAAGAGACTCGACGGAGGGAAGGATGGCGTCAAAGGCTGGTTGGGAGAAGTCGCATGGCGGGACTTCTATCGGCATGTGCTTGTACACTGGCCCTACGTTTGGTATGCCCGACCAATGCCCTCTATACCATGAACATACTAACACAACCCCAGCATGAACAAGCCCTTCAAATTCGAATACACAAACATCGAATGGGAGTACAACGACGCGCACTTCCAAGCCTGGACACAAGGCCAGACCGGCTACCCCATCGTCGACGCCGCCATGCGCTGCCTCAACCACACAGGCTACATGCACAACCGCCTGCGCATGATAACCGCCTCCTTCCTCGCCAAACACCTCCTCCTCGATTGGCGCCTCGGCGAACAATACTTCATCACGCACCTCATCGACGGCGACTTCGCGTCCAACAACGGCGGCTGGGGCTTCAGTGCGTCGACAGGTGTAGATCCACAACCGTACTTTAGGATCTTCAACCCGTGGACACAGTCGGAGAGGTTCGATGAGCAGGGCGAGTTTATCAAGCTGTGGCTACCGGAGCTGGCAGAGGTGGAGGGGGCGGCTATACATAATCCGTATGCGGCCGGTGGCAAGGCCGCGCAGATTGCGAAGGCGAAGGGCTATCCCGAGCCGGTTGTTGAGCATAAGTTCGCGAGGGAGAGGTGCTTGGCTAGGTATAAGGCTGGTATTGGGAGGAACACTGCGTGAAGAGTCGTTGATGAGATGTTGAGGCATGTCTGGCTGAAACTCAGTTGTAGCATTTATTTGGGCACAGTGCATTCATCTCTAATTGACATCGTTGTATCTTCCGCAATCTATACGAATTTTACGCAAGGAAACGCTCTCAAATGAGGAGTTTCGCAACCCCAAAAACTCCAGATGACATGTGCATTGCGATCCGTTGCTCGAGGCCTGTTTTGTGGTAAAGATCTGCAATGCGGGGCTAATGCGCGACAGTCGGCCCGAGCAATTCGACCAGATCGCTTCTGTCGCGTTCCCCATCTTCCTTCTCGCAATAACGCAGGAACAGTAAACACGGCTGTTGTCGATTGGAACTGGCGTCATCATTGAATCCCTACATGGTTATTCACGTTACCGCCGCATCAGTACTGATCAACTTTTCTGCAGGATCTCACGGGAAAGCTTCCTCCGTCCCCCTCAGGAGTTGACCTCGAGGAACCGCGACCAGCTATGGAACAACCAAAATGTACCAACTTCGTCAAGCCCAAACCAATAGAACCCGCAGAGAGACCATGGCCGCTCCTTGACAGTGGTCAAACGGTGCCAATGCCCTATGGAGAATTCCACAAAGAGACATTTGGAAAAGTCAAGTCAATAATGGCCGACTATGGCATGCTAAACGCCATCTTGATAAGATCCGAGGGCGTTATACGGAAGAGATGGACAAAGAAGACGCGTACTCAACGTAAAGCTATTCTTGAACGATCATGGCACACGCAAATGCCACACCAGCATCGCCCAGACCTTCGCGACTACTACAGAGTCCAAAGACGAGATTTCAGCGAGGCTTCCACTTCCACGATCAGAGAAGATGTATACAAATGGCCATATATCAATACAGAGGACCTCGTGACTCCAACACATGTTTTACAGCTTCTGAACTCTCGCGGACGGTATACACCCAACAATTTTGCCGAGATGGATTGGCAAAGCTCAGAGCTCGGTCGCAACATCAATGTTATCAAGGTGCGTCCGATATATTACGACCCAAATGACGAAGGCCAACACAAAGCTGTATTGGAAGACGAATCCAACGGCAAGGAACCCGAAGATGGGGAAGTTTCACGTAGTTCGGAAAATGAGACAGTACGCGAATGGCAAGATAAATACAAACCCAGCGAATGGGGTTACTATCTGATGATGCATCCTACTGATCTACAAGAATACGGGCTTCCGGTCAAGCTTCCGGTCGCTCTGGAATCTCAAAAACACGTGAGGCGCGCGAGCGAGGCTCTTATCGTCCTACAGATACAGCAGCCTCTGATGGCCTTCCTCGTCAAGATCTGCCTTGAGCTACTTCCCGACGTAGAAGGTGGTCTGGACGGGTTCAAGGCCTTCTTCCAAGCCCCCGAACAACCCGAGCCCCCCGAAATAAGAACGACAAAAGAGGATGGATGGGACTCGGCTTTCGCACTAGCCCAAGACATTCCATATACCGCCCCACAATGGGAAGACTTTCTCAAAATCATGTCCTCTATAGCGGCTAGAATACACGAGTGGAAGGACCATGCCTGGGCTATGCGCGATGATCCATCCTATTTCACTAATGCTGTTAGCGAGTTCTGTAAGTGCGAGGCGCCGTGAGGAGCATCGATTGAAGCACGCTGACCCGATGCATGTAGATGAACACAGCCCTACACATGTGTTGGACAGGAAGGGAAGGAAAAGCCCCCATCTTACTGATCCAGCCCTTCAAAAAGACTTTTGGCACATTACGATATACTCGATCATCATGGATTATTACGAGAATCTTGTCATGTGGCATGCTGCACAAGCTGCTCTACACAAGGTTGCTCGGCTGCTGTTGACACGGTTGGAGAAACAAGAAGGGCATGATGCATGGGTAGAGGCTGTCGCGGACTTGAAAGATTTACTTGATATGCGCCTTATCAAAAGCCTAGCTTCACGGTTGCCGAGTTGCTTCATTGGCTCACCACCGGTGCGCGGCATGTTCGTACGTGACCATGCAGTTCCAGAGGAATTACCCCTGCTCAGAGACCCGAGCTCTTTTGGGAAAGACTATTTGTTATGGCTGTGTTCCTTGCTTTGGTCTGAGGAAGGCCTTGGGGTTCCTCAAATTGTAGTCAGGGAAATGGCTCGAGTTATACAACAGGACAAGGACCAGAAGTACAGAATCACACCCTTGGTCGCACAGGTCAGTCATTACCCATGTAAGAAATGCGTATGAGATAGCCACTGACCTCGTACACGTTGATAGCTCGTGTCAGACCTAGCTATTTGTTTTGAACTACGAGCTCGCCTGCGCCTGGTGTGCCCACAAGCTTTCAAACCTGATGAGCAGTACTGTACCGTTGGAGCCGACCGCGACTATCACGAGATAGTCATGGAGGTTTCTGTGAAAGAACTAAACGTGATCTTAGACCCGGAATGCGGTCCAGAATACGATGCCAAACGCCGATATGACTTTCTCCTTCTTGGTGAGCTCGGGCATCCAAAGACAATGCCGTACCCTGTCGGCAAGCGAAGAACCAAAGAGAACGTAGAGATTATGCAGGCTACTGAACGACGGCTCGATGAGCTTTGGAGCAAGTTCGATGCTCACGTGCAGAAGTATTTGAAGAAAAAACACCTCGAGGCTCTTGAATCCCTAGCGCCGTCAAGAGGACAAATACAACGGACGCCAGACTGGATAGAACCGGCGAAACCTTCCAACAAAGCGAAGAAAGATGCTGCCCTGCAGGAATACATCACGCCTCTCATACCGGAGCAGCAGCCCGACCCTGTAGACCTTCCAATTCGGAGTGAGAAGCGCAAGACCAGGGGGATTGCGAATGATCCTTCCACTGAGCCTGTCGAAGTCGCAGCAGACTTGCAGCCAGTCGCTTCTGAGGGAACAAACACTTCACCTTCACCGCGATTCACCGTTGGGAAAAAGACACAGCACACATTCTCGACTATATTCTTCCAGCCGTCTGCAAGCTCGCATCCCGGTGAAATCCCGTGGACTGAATTCCTCTCAGCTATGAACACGATTGGCTTCTCACCCGAGAAAGTGTATGGCTCTGTATGGCGCTTCACACCGAGAGAGGGGGGTGTTATCAACGCAAAGCAGCCAATCAATTTCCACGAGCCGCATCCTGAGGGGAAATTAAGGTTTGAGGTGGCAAGGAATTACGGGAGGAGATTGACGAGGAACTATGGTATCGATGGTAGCAGCTTCATTATCGCGTAACTGGTCTCGGGGTTTTATAGAATTCATCACAATTCGCCACATCTGTTTGTGCATATTTCATTTGACAGTGATCTTCGCGGTTTCATGTCTACATTCACTCCATGCATGTTGACAAGAACGCAAGATGAGGTGCATTGAATGTATCATGATGTACGCATATTTTACCAATGACAATACTATGGGTGAGCCTGAACAACCTCAATGTACAAACAAACGTCAATCTGATGACCCTGCAGTGCTTGTATGCCTCAGGCTTGTCATTAACCGGTCGAGGGACCAGCGACATACACAGCCTTCTCTCCTTGCCTACGCGGTCCAGATACCGTCGCGCAATATTTCCTCGTTGTCATCTCCATGCCGTCATTCCATAGCAGACCAAGGTATTCAGCTAGCGTTTGACGGAAGCGTCCGTTCTCCAACCCGGGCCTGTCCAATCCGCAGAACACAATCGTTTCCAGATACACGTCCAGTAATGGTTTGCTGTAGTCTGGTTCCAGACCTCCAATCTGGCAATCGGAGCTGATACCCAACATTGCGTAGATGAGATCGCGTGGCTCAGAGGTTTCGAGTCCTCTCTGGCACGCCATTCTCAACCAAGTCACCAATGTGTTGGAGTCTATCGGCAACCGTTTTCTCGTCACAATCGCATTGGCAGCGCTCTGCTCGATAGCAGCGGATATTTCTCCAGCAACAAGGCTGTCGTCTCTTGTGATAAGGCCCAATATGTGATCGAACATTTCGTAAAGTATGTACTTGTCTCCTCCCCACATGATCAGAATTTGTCTAGCGAGGTATAGTTCCTGTTGAATCCAGACACGGTTCCAGTACGGTCTTAGACATAGCTGAAGAATCGGATCAATGTTGTCTTTTATCTCAGCGTACCATGTATTGGGCCCATCGTTCTGGTTGTTAATCACAGAAATGGCGCGATCGTAGCGAAATTCAGAATACCCGGGCCAGACCAACACACACATGGCCCCTCGGTATATTGTGGACATGAGTCGAACTTGGTGATTTCTCTCTTCCATACTGGCTTGGTTAATGCACAACGCATCAATCCATATCTCACGGCAGAAAGGATTCTCGTATTGCCAGCGTTGTCGCAGTGACAATAAAGCCTGAAAGAGGTTACGCCGGACAACCGTGAGGTGGCCGTTCAGGCGGATTTTGGGATCGTCATCGGCAGGCGGTCCCCACTCGTAGGATAGAGCGTGATATTTACCTTCCAGTATTCGTGTCTGTCGGACGTCACATTTGATGCTCTCGGAACCGTCATGATCGTACGGTCTTAGAACAAGGACTCGGATCATATCCGACGCCTGTAACGGCAGGTACTTGTAACTGCTACCGGCTTGTACCCATGTAAGCTTTTTTTCAGCTTTGCTGGAAGGTATATTTACGCTGATCTCGGCCTTGCGTCGAAGTTGTACTTTGCAGTGATGGGGCAGGCTCGTCCTCAGTGGAGGTTGATGCTTTTCGTGACCGTTTACGCAAAGCTGTGATAGCTCGGTTCTGAACGACATAACCAAGACCACCGAAAACCATGTCTTATCGCGATCTTCAGTAAACAGACTGAGAACAAGTACGTAGGTACTCTCGAGGCTGCGCGGCCAGGGATGAAAGTTGAAGATCGTGGGGTTTTGATATTTGAACGTGTTACAGCTACCTAGATCCTAGTATATGATTATTGAGAGCAGGTACAGTAAGAGCTTCGAAGAAAGAAAGTACACACGATGGGAGAGGCATCTTCAGCTGGGTGCAGGGCCAAGCCTCCGGAGGTTGTGGACTAACCGCATTGAGCGACACCAAGGCCTGGATCTTCCACCTGCAGGAACGGCATTCCTTCTGCCATCGGCTTCCGCGAATTCTCATCGGAAACACTTTCGCTCAAACCTGTCGGCCATGTATACCCATCCATCGACGATTTTCGGGATGGGTTGACTGCGTCCAATGCGAAAACACACTGCGTCGGAGCTGAGCGTTAGGCAACCGCGCCCTGTGATCAAGCCACCTCGTATCGCAGTTTGACGACCATCTCCCGATGCATTCAGGCGTCTTTGAGGCTCCGAAACTGTGCCACGCATACACGATTGAATAGTTGCCATGACGCAAACTGGAAAGTGCGACACGTGTCGGCAGCGCAAGGTTAAGGTAAGACGCGTTTCAATTTCTGCGATCATTTCGTCGCAAAGCATTGCAAGTCGTTGCGGAATGAATATGTTCTTACTAATGGCTACCTAGTGTGACGAAGTGCGACCCAAATGTAGCGCATGCAGGAAGAAAGACAGACCATGTGCCTACTCCTACGGCAAAGCCTCAGCATTCGTCGTGCAGGATCCCAGACAGTTGACCAAACATGGAAGATCCAAGACTGGCTCTGCCGTATATCCCTTGAACTCTCCTGACGAAGGCTCAAGCTCGTCATCAACAACCTCATTCGCAGCCGGCTCGTCCTCGTCAAATTCCTCAGACCTCTGCATCACTACCGAAAGGCACACCGAAGATCGCCAAGGTTGCTTTCAAACCCTGGCACCGCGTTCAAGATCTAGAATGCAGCCGTCGAAGATGAGAGAATACCGGCAGAATCTTGCGCTTCAAGTATATCTCCAGAAGCTACGAGAAGAGAGCCCTCTCGTACCATATCAGCCATCCTCGCCCGAGACGACCCTGATCTCCCGATACGTTGGCGTGCTCGGACCAGAGCCCGCTGGTAGGCAGCCTTTTGAGGTCTTAGGGACCTGGATACAGTCTATTCCCTCGCGCATCGGGTCGAACAAGATGCTTGATTTGGCCGTTCAGTTCTTCGTCGATAGTCACGCTACGTATCGAGATGATATGCACTCGAAGCGCAAGGTCGCGAGAGCTTCAAAGGCTAAAGCGCTCAAGGAATTGCAGCTCGCCGTGATGAACACTGATAACAAGGTCACGTACGACATCCTGTTGGCTACGAAATTACACTACGCTGCTGAGGTTAGTCAGCCTGTCAGACGTCGACGTGTTTTGCTGATCACATGCAGGCTCTTCTAGGGCTCGATACTATGTATTACGCGATTCATGCGTTCGGAATCGCCGAGCTGCTGAGGTCAGGTGCGGTGGCGGAAGTTGATGACGATCATTTCTGGAATTTGATCGACAATACCTATATCGACGATGTGAGTACTGGTCGGTCTTGGGAGTTCGCTGCTGATGTCGAAAGGTTCACGAGGCGATGATGTCGGGTCGGAAGTCAGTATACCACAACGACTATTACCTGTCTGCTACAATTCCACCTCCGATCGATACAAGAGATGTCATGCTGTCGCCATCACAGAGAGCGTCGATGGCCGTCATGCACGTTTTCATTCAGTGCCCTTACGCGGTAGCATTGATCCGAGAAGCCATTTCGAACCCCGAGGACACGATCGCGCTTGCAATCGCCATGTCATATTTGGAGGGTCTGATGCAAATCAACGTGTCGCAGCACGTAGCTGAGCTCATTGAAACGACCGTGTCTGTGGTACCGATTCCACCGTCACCGGACGTCGCCGACCTAATGCCCGACACCCTCGAGTTCAATTCGGTACAAGACTTCATACTTTGCACCAGAAGCTGGATGTTACAGTCGCTCCTCTGCGGTCTTGCGGATACACTTTATCGATACTTCCCAGCTGAGGCGGCGTTATCGCTACTCCCGTCGCCTCAGCAATTACGAATTATTGATGTGGATAGCGCACTCTGTCTCCAGAAGTCGCACAGATGGGCAGACTCTGTTTCCAAACACATTCCGCTTTTGACAATGCGCTTACACACTCCACTCCAGATGGCCATTGCCCCATGGCACCGCATGACCCGAGATCTTACTACTCAACGCTCACCATCCGCCTCGCCAGGCACCCCCTCGGACGTGGCGACGGAGGTCACACGCGCCAAGCGCATGCAAGCCTGGATAGTCAACGAAACCAACAAGATACACAAGAACTGGAACGTCGCCACCGTCGATGAAGAAATTCTTATCGAAGCTCTAGAAGCTTTATCCGGAGAGAAGATGCCAGATTGGCTACCAACACGCGTGCGATTCGTCCCCGAAGAAGGCGAAATGGCTCTACACATGGAATTCGAGAACAGAACAGGGACCTACTCCACCGGGAGAATCGATGTAAGCAAGGAGCCTCCGCGCAAATTGGCGATGCCGCCGCATCCTGGGGAAAAGGGACAAGAATGGCAGAGGAAGAATGTACATGTGGTCGAGCTACCGCTCAGAGGAGGGCGGAATGAAAGACCTGTAGATTTCTTACATAGTACAGGAAGGAACCTGTGTACGACTTCAGGATGGTGGCCTCAGTCACACGAAACATCACATGATAGCTAGGAGGTAGCCAAGTACAGTACAAACTTCATTCTCATCACCACTGGGTATCGTGACAGCTACATCGCTCTCCTTCTTCACTCCTCACAGACCTCCTCTCCTTATGTCTTCTGCAACCCCCTTCTCACCCCCTCGTCCCACCGTCCCCAAATCTGTCGTATGCCCCGACCGGCATCTCAGAATCCCTTGTGTCCTTCACCAGTATCACCATGGTACTCCTGCCACATGCCCGTGAGTTGCTGGGCGCCGCACTTTGCACACTTGAACTGGTGCTGGAACTGCGGGTACGGGCTCCGCGGGACGTTGTGCACGATGTTGGCGGCGCAGCAAGAGGGGTTGCAGCAGAAGTAGGTGTATGAGGAGGTTGGGGCTGGTGTGGTCATTGTTGTGGTTGTTGTGGAGGTGGTTGAAGGTGATTTGATGTGGTGGTGTGATGTGGCTTTGGGAGTTTGTGGTATTGTGGTGAGATTGTGGTGGTGGGTAGTTGTTGGAAAGGGAATAGAGGATTGGGCTTGGAAAGAGTGGTTTATATAGAAGGAGGGCGAGAGGCACAGCGATGGGAGTGTGTTGGTGAATGGTGAATTGACTGAGACATACTGGGAGTGCTGTTGAGGCTGTTGCGTCGAGGACGGCGTCACCGCTGATGAGCGTGTCTACTGGCATTGTTATCTATCATTCACCTCTTAATCCGTCTTCTTCAGTTCCTGCTTCACCTCCCTAAGCACCTCACACCCCTTCGTATCCTTGCTCCCACCGCGGCACGCAGGACAAGTCCGTCCATGCTGAATAAGGAAGAAGTGCAGCTTGAACTTCAGCTCCGGCGGGATCACCGCATCCAAGTGCAACTGCGTGTTCTCTCTACTCGCCTCCTTTGGCCTCCATCCCCATAAGCCAGCAATGCGATACACATGCGTGTCAACCGTGAACCTGTTTCTCTTCAAGCACCAGCCCATTACTACGAACGCAGATTTTGGGCCCACGTACTTGTAGCTCATGAGCTCTTTCATGGCATCTTCGTCGCTGGCTTCGAGTAGGTGGTCGAGATTCCAGCGTCCGTAGCGGCGCTTCACTTCCTCGAGGATGGACATGATGATCTTGGTCTTTCTGACGTGCAAGCCGCCGCAGCGAATAGTCTCTTGTAGTTTCTCCGATCCTCCATTATATATCTCCTCGTAAGCGAACACCGAGCCGTAGGTGTCTTTCATGCTGTCCATTGCGCGTTTCGCATTGTTCCAGCTCGTGGCTTGGCTGAGCACGGCGACGATGAGGGCGTCGGGGACGAATGGGATTGTCTCGGGTGTGTTGGTGTCTTCGAACTCCGCTTCTACGGCGTCGTTGTGCAATTTGTGAAGGATGTCGTAGGCTAGTTGGCACTCGCGGTTTGTGGGGTGGCCGAAGTCAGGGTAGGGCGTGGATGTCGCGTGGGCGGACCATGCTTTCCATTTCTTGTCGGCGCCGGCGTTGTCGCCGGCTGTGGGCTCCTCTGCTTTGGTATCGCTGGCCTGGTCCTTTGGCTTCTTCTTGTCTCCATCACTGCTTTGCGCAATAGCATCCCTTTTCGCGGAACGATTCGCTGCTCGGCTGTCGACGCGCTTGCTGAGCGTCTCTTCACCAGTCGACGAACCAGAGTGTCTTCTCTTCATCGCACTACTCGCGGTCTGCTGCGCAGTGCGCGTCGCCGCTCTCGTCGATCTTCTTAGAGCCATGCTGTAAATTAACATCTAAGAAATAATGCAGGTAGCAAGTGTGTCATACAATGCTGTAGACGCGCTTCTTCTTGGAAAAAGTCCGGCGGACGCGTTCGAGGTATATACTAATCAGCACGCTGACGTCTTCGTCAGTCGCGGCCCTAGGCCCTTGCATGAGGACGCGCTAATCGTCTGCATGATCGCGTCGGATTCCGCGGGCACTGAGATCTAGATTCGCGAGATGCAGTGCGGAGGCGCGGTAGCGCATCGAAGGTTCGGCGATGAACCCATCTCGGCGATAGACCCAGCATCCGGAGATAGACCCACACGCTAGTCCTGTCTTGTCAAACATTACTGACTGAGGAGCGATCGCTTTGGCAGAAGGGCATACGTCATGCTTAATTCTGTGCTATCGAATGTGAAACACAGCATATTTATATTATCTCGAGTTACCCACTTCTACACAACATAATCCTTATACCTCCTTACAAAATCATGCAAGTCTTGCGTCGAATCGCAAGGTGCAGGTTGCATATAACGACAGCTCCTACCTCCCAGCTTTGAGACCTTCAGGATGGTCTTGGTAAGCCACCAGTACTCCGCGGCGTGCTTCTCAAACCCCAGATCAGGCAAGCAATGTCCTTCGCCATCTCGGCTCACTACATCCCAGAGCGCCTTCCATCGGTCGGTGGCGCGAAGCATCGGCTCTATGTTCATAGAAGTGAGGAAATTCATTCCGGATGTCATGACGATAGATAGCAGTGCTGTGAGAGTCAGCGGGTTCACCATAAGATGGGTGATGTGAGAACGGACCGCAGATGAGTATCAGCATATGCGGTGGTGAGACGGCTTCCCCGGGCTCATCGGCGCGCTGTGCAACAGGAGGAAAAAGGGCGCGTGACATGAGTTCGGGTAATGTTTCGACTCGTGGTCGCGGGTGCTGATGCGATGCAAGACGCGCGAAGTCGGCGGCCGACTCAGCTCTGAACAAACTCTCCTCGCAGGGGAGATCACCTATCGCCTCACAGATGGCAACCTGTGGGGTATTGTTGAAGAATACAGAGAGCGTGCTGTCGAAGAGGCAGGTCCACATGCCCAATCTGCGAGGTTTGTTAGTGGCTTCATGTACATAAAGTGTACGGGGTCATAGTACCTTGATCGCATCTCATCGTTGATGAACGCCTGCCAGTCATGTTCATCCTGACTGGGGATAATGTGACGCTGTTTGTGCGCAAACAAGCCTGAAGCTCGCACAGCAGCGACAAGCGATGGAATGCGCTGGAGGCGGATTCGCCGTCTTGTGACGATGTCGTTGCTGTTGTTTAGAAACACCAAGAATAATAGACCTGCTTGCAATAACTGAAGATGCACATCGTCGACCCACGCCGAATGATCAACTTGCGATGTCTGTTGTAACACCAGTTGATCGAAAACGTATGCCTCCGCAACGTGTGAGAACCGCCGTAAGCCGATGGAGGTATCAGACTCCAGAGTCGGCAGCGACCCAAACAAAACGAGCGCGAGTAAAAGCGGGAAAGAAACCGTCTGTATATCGAACGTCGGCTTATGCAGGATAGGAAACGAGTAGTGAAAGTAGCGGAAGAAAGCCCAAACAAAGTGCCGCACATTGCCGACTGTGAAGACGGTTTCCGCAAGTTGACAGTCAAATGTTGCATCAACTGCATCACCACGTTCCAGCATCGAGCTGTGCTTGGCAGACAGCTGCTGTAGCATCTCCCTTACGCGTACTTCGAAAGCGTACGCATCTTCCAGTTCAGGTGTCAGACCATCGCTTATGATCGGAGACGCGTAGTCGACTTCTCGTCCAGATACCACGAACGGAAAGCTGAAGAAGACAGAAGGTAAATCTGCGAACTCAAAAAACGACTGGTCATGCGTCATATCTTGATCGTGAGCGTCTGGCTGAACGTGCGCTTCGCCATCTGCACCATCGAGCTCAGCAGCCTCAGCGGCGATGGCAGCGGACGGGCGGTAACCCGAGGGATTCGTAAAGTTGAGGAGGAAGTCGATGGAGATGCCCACGCGCTGCCTGTCGGTACTGGTCTCAGTACCATCTTGGCTGCTTCCGACAGATGCAGTAGCACCTGCAGATACGCCGTCCAACCGCTTGTACGTACACGCTGCGCCACCGTCCCGACAACGCACACATGGCATTTTGGTATCGCACGACAGCTTGCGCTGTGAACATCTGTCGCAGGAGTTTCGCTTCCTGCCGCGCCTCATCGTGGGTAGACTTACGTCATCGCCGGAAGTCGAAGAGCAGTTTGTCAGATGGCGTCGAGCGAGGTCTCTGTCCTCTTTATCAGCTCCATGCAACACGCACATCCATCTAGAGAAAAACTCACCGTCGCGTAAACTGCGCATGGCATGTTGGACATGTCAAGTCTTGCCTGCCGAAATCTGTCTATTGTGAGCTGCGACTAATTGATTATGCAAGATGCTGCTCACGTGACGCTTCATGGCGGCGAAGATGGCTGTTGGTGGAATAGACCTTGTCGCATACCGCGCATTGATGCTTCGTGCGGATTGCGGGAGGCATGTAGGTGGCGTATGCATCTCGCACATGAACCCACGGGAAGGAGTCGGGAGGGAGTGGGTTTTATCCCGTGTGGTGGTCGTGGATCTAATCTGCTAGCGTCCGCCCGATCCCGCTGCAGTGGATCGACGTCATCTGCTTCTGGGCTTCGTGTTCGGAGTCTTTCTTCGTGTAAGGAACTTTGGGTGTGTGGGTTGGTAGGTTGGTAAGTCGATAATGGTGAGCTGCTAGAATTGTTCGCTCCTCCCGGCGTCTTATACCGCAACGAGCGAGAACAGACTTTAAACAATATATTATTAGGATCTCATCGGTCTCCGCGGTCTCCGGAAAAATTGCCGAAATCCGCATTATCAGACAAGGCTCTCTGGCCAACGTAGCTCTGTATCCAGGTATCTCATAGCATCAATAAAACCCCTTCCTAGCCGTCCCCTTCTTCGTCCTATTCTCCCCCCAAATGCAACAAACACTCAAGCTCTCACACCACCCTTGCACCATCGTGCTCTCTAGTTCCTTCTCCACGGCAAACACCTCCGACCCATCCCCTTCCCTACTTGGCCCCACACCCAGATGTACCGCCTCCTTGTCCTGCTTCTTCAAATCCGCATTCCAGGCCTTGATTTGCTTCTGCGTAGCTTTCTTGTACACGCGGATGGGTGTGTGGGCGTTGAGGTACGCGGTGAAGTCTTCGATGACGATGGGGTCGTACATGAGGATCTTTTCGTGCCAGGTAGGCTTGCTGGGGTCGGTGGTTGGAGGCAAAGACCGGATGTGACTTGTTATCTGAGCAAAGACCTGGGCTTTGATGTTCGGCCATTCGAGAAGCGGGGTAGGTATGCGGTGGATGGGTGCTAGACTTTGATCGGCCGCTAAGGCTTTCGCTTTCGCCGATTTGCTGGGTGAGGTTGTGGGAGATAGTGTAATTAGAGACAGAGGTTGCGAGTTGGCATGTTTAGTTGTTCGGGGCGGCGTGGGGGAGAGAAGCTGCAGGGCTTCGTCTTCGGAGTCGAGGATCTCGTCTATGTCGATGAAGCGACCTGAGCCTGTGGGAGGGGTCGATGGCATCTTAGTACTGGTCTTTGACTTCGCGCGGGGCTTCAGAATTGACGTCGATGACGCGGAGACTGATGTAGGTATTGCAGAATGCGATTTCGTCGGCCTTCCGCGCTTCTTGGGAGAGCCGTCCATGGGCGTTGGTGCTGAGGCTGGAGGTTTGAAGATCGAGACTGGCGATTTCCGCATCTGCGCAGAAGGCGGAAAGTCAAAGTCGTCGATGTCAACAAAGCTATCTGGTGAGACAGGTTTCTGACCGGAAGGTGGAGGCTCTTGCATGAAGTCGTCAATGTCCCTGAAGCCCGTATCTTTCATGTGGTCATCATCATTGCGAAGCTTCGTCATTGGGGTGGCGCGTGAAATGCTGGGAGGAGGCATTGGTGGATCAGAAGATATGGCAATTGGTGGCGGCGGGTCCGGCGGTATATCGTCAATATCTATGAAGTCAGATTGATCATCGCCTTGCTCATCAGGCGCATCGGTAGTGCCATCCATGAGTAATGGGATGTCTTCCGTTCGATCGGGCTCGGGTATATAAACGTCCTTCAAGTGCTCTAGCATACCGCCCTCGTCGTCGCGGGAACTCGCAGCCCAAAGTCCGCGCTTGCCTTCCACCCTGCCGAGCCGTGACCATCGCGGCGGCGCGCCATACGCAACATTGTCGACGTCCTGCTCAGACTCCTTCAGCGCATACTGTAGTTGACGCACCATTGTCGGCGACTCTTCAAGCACAAGCTGACTTGATGTTCCGAACAAGACGTCTTGCTGCTGTAGACGCGACATTGCAGATGAAGGACTGAGCAACTTCTCCGCGTTAGGCTTGGGCTTGGCGGCTGCTTTCGAAGATGCTTTCTTCGACCTCGGCTTGGGATCTGCTTTCTCTGTGCCTGACTTTGAGCTGTTACGCCTGCGTACTGGCTTCTTCGGTGCTGCATCGCCGTCCGCGGCCGATGCATCGTTCAGCGGCACCTTTGTTGTAGTTGTCGAAGCTCGGGATTCGAAGAAGTTGCTAGTCGCATCGTCTGGGACTGGTTGTGCATCCTTCAAAGCATACTGCTCTGTAACGAGGTCGGTGATGGTGCGCGGTTTCTTCTTCGGTGCTTTGCCTTTCTCGGGAGACGAGTCTCTGGAGTTGGTGTTATTGTTGGGTATCTCGACAAGCTCGATTCTCCGCCGCTTCGTCGCTGCCACGGCCCCTGTTGCGTTGTTCGATTTTGCAGCGGTCTGCGCAGATGGCGATTGTGCGTAGGCGAAGTTGGAGAGGAGGTTTGTGAAGGAGCCATTAGCGTTCTGCGATAAGGTCTTGTTCTCCTTTCCGGTCGAGTCGGTGAACGGCGATGCGATTGTGGTATCGGGTGGCGGCGTCCAGTCTCTCCTCCTTACAACAGCCTCCTCCAACTCCAAACCTTGTGCGATGGGATCTGGCTGTCGCTGCTTGGGTGCAGCCTTCTTCTTCGGCTTCGGGCTGTCTGGCACTTCCCAGATCGATTGAGGCTTGGCTTGAGTGTCGTGGTCCTCTACAGAAGGCCGTGTTGCCGACTCCTGGCCGCCGTCTGCTCCACCTCCTAAATGCGCAGACACAAGCGACGCATCTCCCTGCTTGCCCTTCCCCGCCCCTGCTTTCGCCTTTGTGACCCTCGGTTTCTTTGGCTTTGGCGCAGGTTCTGTCCCATCTTCCACAGTCTTGACCTTCTTCGCGCGAGGCTTACGGGGCTTGCCAGACTTGGTCAGCTTCGGCGCATCCGCAGCTGGTGCCGCAGGGTCACCCGGAGATTCTGTCGCATCATCGTCGAAAAAGGGAGACTTTGTAGGCCGCTGCGGCGGGCGTCCGAGTTCGTCGTCGGAGTCAAGGATCTCTCTGTCTGACTTGGGTTTCGCTTTGCGCGCTCGAGGCTTTGGTTTGGGCTTCTCGGAGCCGTCTGCAGCGTTAGTAGTAGCTGTAGCCTTCTTCGTAGTCCGCTTCTTGGGTTTCTCCGCAGCCAAAGGGGGCTCTATGGTATCCTGTGAAGCCCGCCGTGGTTGCGCTTGTTGTATCGCATCGAAGTCGTCGTCGAGGCGGCTTGTGAAGTGCTCGGAGCGTATGAGGCTGCCCACGGTGGCGAACCCTCTGACAGCTCCCTCGGGGATGGGAGCAGCTCGTGCATTGCTCTTGGACGCGCCGACAGTCGGTCTGAGGGGGCTCGCAGGAGGGGAGAATGCGAGAGGGGAGGATGCAAGCATGGCGACGCGACGGGAGGGGGCATCATGTAGCGGGGAAGCGGCCGGCGGACTCGAGGATAGCACCACGACGTCGTACATGGTATTGCCTGCCATTCTGAGGCGAGGAAGGGGCCTCGGGGCAGCCAGTACGGGCAGACGGAGAGGAGCAATCCATAGACTCGGCCTGCGTAGTTGGAGAGGGTGTGGTGTAGCGTGGCGCTGGTTGGTGAAGCCGAACAATGCACGGTCTTTGGGTCAACTGAAGTTCATTGCTGCAACACCAAAGTCTCCATCACCAAATTCCCAGCCATGCCCCTCCACCACCGTAGCTCCCACATCAACCCCCTGCGACCGAGCTGCATTTCGTTGAGAAGCTCTACAAGTACTCGCAGAACATCATCATCGACTTGAATGACTGCCCCCGGCCGCATACAGCGCGGAATCCGCCTCCGCGGAAGTCTTCCAAAACCCATCGTAGCCTCCGGCCATCCCCCACCCTCGACAGCAACATGGAGCAGACTCGGAGCTTCAGAATACCTCCTCCATCCCGCTCAGTAAGCCTGCGCGCTTGTCGCAGCTTCTGGCGTTGCGAGTGAGGTTCAGGACAGCCGGGAGCCGTCGCTGCGAACCTCACCCGCCGAACGAAGGACTTTGGCATCCTTCTGCGAGCCGCACACAGCGAGAGGAGCTCCCGAAAGACTGCAGTAAGTGCCTCTCGTCTTTGCTGTCGACGTCCTTGACCTTCGCTGCCCCTCCCTGAACCTGCCTCCTCCGCCGCTACCCCGCCTCGAAGCCACACACATCACCCAGCAAGGGCAAGAGAACGTGCAGAGACATTGCTGATGTTTTGGCTTACAGACAATAAGCTGCTGCTGTAGCCTCGCATCGGCAGCGACATCCTCCTTGGGTTGACTTCAGGGCTGCCTCCGACACACCTCCGCCCTCACCTCCGCCAACAACCCTCAGCGACCAGCATTGCTGAAGCACTGCGCAAGAGGCGAAGCACAAACCCCCATCGCTGGCCCAAGGCCGGCAACTACCACAACGATAGTCCATCTCGCTGTCGATGTCCTGGCGGCATGGCGCTGAACCATTCTCACATGAGAGGCAGTAGCTTGGCCATGTCGACACCCTCGCGGAGTGCCTGGTGAGAGCCGTCAAGCTTGACATTCGAACCCGACCATCGATGCCTCACCTAGTACGTTCCTTCGGACCGGTACTTATGGCGGCCACCCTTGACGCTCTCGTGACCCTCGCATGCCGAAGACGAAAAGACTCGACGCTGTCACTCACTCGAAAGTAGAGCGACTCGGATCGGAGGAAGGGTCTCGGCCTACAACATACTGTGCGGGGCGCTTGGGCAAGCGCG